CTGAGATCCACTCAAGATAAAACACATGCTAGGAATTCAAAAACTCATTTCAAAGAAAACCCCAACTATTTCATTAGTATCTTCTGTAGATTTAATTACATGCTGAAATATTATTTTAGATATACTATATTAAAAAATTGTTAAAATTAATTTCACCTGAATTTTGATTGTTTATTTTTGTTTTACTTTTAACCATCTAGCAGAAATTTTAAAATTACTTATGTGGCTTACTTTGTATTTTWATTGAACAGTGCTACTCTGAAATACAACAAAGGAAATAAGTCCTTAAAAAATATAATCGCAGTAGCTCTCAGCTTCTCTATAAGTTCAGGTTTTCAGAGAAAACCAATCAAAGGACACAGTAAAGCTATTAATAGCTACTACTTTTGTAGCACAAATTTACATCTCATGGCACTTTTTTCCTCCCCTGGCAGTACTGGGGACTGAAGCCAGGGGTGCTCTATCACTGACAGCCTAAGCCCTTTGTATTTTTTATCTTGAGACAGGGTCTTGCTAAGTTAGTGAGGATCTCAGTAAGCTGCTGAGCTGGCTTTGAATTTATAATCCTCTTGCCTCAGCCTCCCAATTTGGGATTAAAGGAGTATGCCACTGTGCCAGGGTTTTATTTTTAATTAATTTTGGAGATCAGGAGATAATGTAAAAGCCTAGTGGGGCAGAAGATAAATACACCTTTATGGGTGAAACTTAAAGCATATTCTTTCATCTGCTGTCTTTAAAACAAAAAACAAAAACACTTGGTTGCTCCTGCTCAGAACGACCTGTTCTCAGTCTTGAATGTACTCTTGCTTCCTATTTAATAAAATCTGCTTGCTGTCACAAAAAATAAATAAGTAAAACCGTGACCAACTTCTTTAATGAAGCACCAAATATGTTAATTATAAATTTAAGGGAAGTTTCTGAACTTCCTCCAATGACAGAAATGTCATACAATACTCAATACAAAAGCCACTAGTCATATAACAAGCACTTGAAAGGCAGTTTGCAAAACTGAAGTTTTTTTGTTTTTCGTTTTTTTCCCCACAGATACTGGGGGAAAAAGACCCAGGGTCTTGTGCATGTTAAGCAAGCACCATACCACTGAGCTATATCCCTAGCCCTAATTTCAATAAATTGAATTTAAATTGACATAAGTGGCTAGTGGACATATTAGACAGCACAGGTCTAAGACATCTTTTTTTGCAGTACTGAGGACTGAACCCAGGGCCTTGAGCCTGCTAGGTAAGTACTACACTACTGAGTTACATTCCCAGCCCTAATTTCAATTAACTGAATTTAAAGAGTCACAAGTGGCTAGGGACTACCATACTTGGCAGCACAAATCTAAAATATCTTTATGCAGGTTTGGAGGAAGAGGACTAGGACTGAACCCAGGGGCGCTACATTTGCAGCTTTTTAAATATTTCACTATTTTATTTATTTGTTTACAGTACTAAGAATTGAACCCAGGAGTGCTTTATCACTTAGCTACATCACAGGCCCTTCTTTTTTTTTTTTTATTTTGAAATAAAGTCTTGCTAAGTTTCCCAGGCTGGCCTCAAACATGCCATCCTCCTGCCTCTCAGCCTCYAAAGTAGCTAGGATTACAAGTGCGTGCCAGTAGGCTAAACAACACGTTTTTTCCTATAAGGATCCAGATACAGCTGAGCTGGGGAGGTAGATCAGTGGTAGAGCACCTGCCTACTACTTGTGATGCCCTGGGTTTGATTCCCAAAATTGCAAAAAATAAAATAAAAAGATCAAAATATATATTTCAAACTAAGTATTTTAGGCTTTGTAGGCCATCTGTCTGACACAGTTATTCAACTCTGCTATAATTTTTTTTTAATTTTAATATTTATTTTTTAGTTATCGGCAGACACAACATCTTTGTTTGTATGTGGTGCTGAGGATCGAACCTGGGCCGCAGGCATGCCAGGCGAGCACGCTACCGCTTGAGCCACATCCCCAGCCCTCTGCTATAATTTTTTGAGCACTTTTCAGGTAGGCTAAGGCCAGATAAGGTGGCATACACCTTTAATCCCAGTTACATGGAGGCTGAGGCAGAAGAATTGAGAATTTGAAGCCAAACTGGACAATATAACAAGACCTTGTCTTGATAAATAAATAAATGAATATCGTTACAATAAAATAGGCTAGGCTAAGTTACAATATTCAGTAGGTTTAATCCATTTTTGGCATATTTTCAAATTAGGGTTTATTAGGACAAAAATCCCATCATAAGCCAAGAAGCATTTGTAAAATAGAACAAATATAATTAATACACTGGAATAAATTGTGTGAATGAGGACGGACTCTCTAATTTCTTATTATACTTTCACCTTTTCACCTAAAGAAAGCACTTTATGGCTTCTCTGTGGCATATCTGAATAGTTCCACTCTCTTATCAATATTCTCATACTTTGGAGCCATTATAAGTAAAATAAGGGTTACTTGAATACAAGCAGATGACAAGTGATCTGATAACTAAGAGGGCTACTAAAGGACTAACAAGAGGGTAGCTATACAGCATAAATATTCTGGACAAAGGAAAGAGTCAGGTTCTGGGCTGGACAGAGTGGGACTGCACAAAATTTTACCATATTACTCAGAATGAGGCACAATTTTTAAAACTTATGAATTGTTTATTTCTGGAATTTTTCCATTTAACATTTTCAGACCTCAGTTGGCTGTGGGTAACAAAAACCAAAAGCAAATTAAACTGTAGAAGAAGAAGTATTGTTTATGGTGGACACTGCTAATTGCCTACCCCAAATCCACATTCCCTCCTTCTTCTGTCTATTCCCTTTTCTTCTTCTTTTTTTTTTTTTAGTTGACGGACTTTTATTTTATTTATATTAACTTATATACAGTGCTGAGAATTGAACCCAGTGCCTCACACTTCCAAGTCAAGTGCTCTACACTGAGCCACAATCCCAGCACCGCCTTTTAATCTTACTAAGAAAACTCCTACATTGTTCTTAGTGGTTATTTTATTTTTCCAAATAAAAGGTACTTCTTTCTGTTAGAATGGCCAGTGATACATCAGGTTTCCAATAACTAATCTTCTCTCTGCCCTCATCTTCTGCATATCAGGTGTGAAGGTTCAATATCCACTGGGAGTATAAGAATGAAGCTAAATATTGAAGATGTCCCAGCAGAAGAATATAAGGAACCTTAAATCCTTGACAACAATACTAAACAAGATACACCAGAATTATCTACCTCCAGATTCCTTACTACTTGCCATGTAACCCAGATACTTAAGTTTTCCTGCCATTTGCAGAATGCATTCCTATGTTATTTTGTTAACAATAAATTTGTCAATTTTCAGAGGGAGGGGAAATCAAAGAACTTTTATATTCCCAAAATTATCTACTCATCTAATCAACTAAAAAGAAAAGCTTGAAAAAAAACACCAGGTGTACATGAAAAGATGATAGGCATATATAATCATAACCAAATGTTTACTTCATATCTTCCCACATCATTCAGAAAAACAAATTCCCTTAAGTTTCTCTACTTGCCATTGGTTCATCTCAAAGCCTCACTTATTCAACAACTGCTTAGGACTGAATTTTCTGATAGACTATTTTGTATTATTCAAATCACAGAGAAATGTAGTAACCTGAAACTTTTAATTGAAGAAGAAAAGAGTTATCTAGGGGCTGGGGATGTGGCTTAAGCGGTAGCGTGCTCGCCTGGCATGGGTACGGCCCAGGTTCGATCCTCAGCACCACATAAAAACAAAGATGTTGTGTCTTCCGAAAACTAAAATGTAAATAAAATATTTAAAAAAAAGAAAAGAGTTATCTCTTGTAAAGCCTTCCATGCCAAACTCAGAAAGTTAAGTGTTGTGTGCTTTCTCTCATATGWGGAAGCTAGAGAGGAAAAAGGAAAAGAAAACTGAGGGGAATCTCATGAAAATGGAAGGGAGACCAGCAGAGTAGAGAAAAAGAATGGTGGCGGGAGGGAAGAAGAAAAAAAAAGAGGAGGAGGGAGCAAGAAGGAGGGAAGGGCATGGGGGAATAATAAAGACGAAATTATATTATTTTTTTAAATATTTATTTTTTAGTTGTAGTTGGACACAATGCCTTCATTTTATTTATTTATTTATTTATTTATTTTTATGTGGTGCTGAGGTTCAAACCCAGGGTCTCGAACCTGCGAGGAAAGCGCTCTACCGCTAAGCCACAACCCCATCCCCAAATTATACTATTTTGTTTTTTCTTTTTTTGGTACTGAGGTAAGGTGCCCCTGGGTACGATTGTGCCACATCCCCAGTCTTTTTATTTTTTCTTTTGAGACAGGGACTAAGTTGTTGATGCTGAACTCAAACTGTGACCCTCCCATTTCAGCCTCCCAAATCACTAAGATTACAGGCATGCATCAACACACCTAGTCAAATCATATTGTCATATTATGTGCATGTATGAATATGTAACAACAAATCCTACTAGTATGTATAATTATAATGTGCCAATTAAAAATATGGGAAAAATAAATAAAAAATTTTTAAAAAGGCAGTTTTTTACAATGTATATGTTAAAGGGCAAGTAAAGTGGTCAACAAATGCTTGAGCCAGGCATGGTGGCATATACCTGAAGWCCCAGCTACTCACAAGACTGATATGAGATCACTTGAACCCAGGAGTTTGAGGTCGGCCTGGGCAATTTAATGAAACCTTTCCCCAAAAACTGCTGGGCATAGTGGCACAGTCCTATCATCCTAGCTACTAAAGATATTGAGAAAGAAGAATCACAAGTTCAAGGCCAGCCTCAGGAACTTAAGGAAATGAAGCTCAGTGGCAAAGATCTATCCTGATACACTTGATGCCCTGAATTCAATCGCCAGTAGGACAAAGAAAAGGGAAAAGAAAAAAGCATATAACAGAATACTTAGAGTGCTTTGCCAAAGTTAACTTCCTGAACACGTGCATTCATTCTCTGTAGTTATAAAATGAAAAAGAAATATTAAAAAAAAAGTTAATTAAGACAGCTTACCTTTTATTTATAGGTTTTTCATCTTTTTCATAAGGCTTTACAAACCACTTGCCAATACGTACAAAGTTCCGGTTCATTAAACACCGTTCCAACAGATTGTGAACTGCTTTGAAAAGCAGAGTACGGCATTCATAGGAAAGACCATTCTCCCACACTCCATCTTCCTCTTCTAAATAAGAAATGAAGGAAGCAAAAAGCAGTAAATAAAAGTTACAGTTTAAGTTCTATATTCACAATCCCTACTCTACCTAAGAAAATTAAACTACAATCACTCGATATATTTCTAGACATCAAAGTATCAGGTTTCAAAGTTACTCCCCAAGAAATAAAAGGCCTAAGTGCTATGCATTCTATCAAGTTGCCTGAAGTTTATTTGCACAATGTAAAATATGGGAATAATATTATAAATGTATTGATTCATTTCTCTATCAATGAAAAGTCCACCTGCTTGTATAATTTGGAAAATATTAAACATACTCTATGGTGCCAATTTCTAAACTGGCTCACTTACTAGTTACCTTCTCCTAATTCTTTCAATCATTCGACCTGCCTCCACTCCCTCCAAAAAAAAACAGCACCAGCCAATTAATAATTAAATTCAAAACATTTCATGTCCATTGGCATTCTAATTCACGACTCAACTATAAAATTAATTGATGAAGAAAAAGAAAGCCAGTGGCACAGAGCCTAACAAGCAACGCATTATCAGCTACCTTAGGTCTCATTTTAACCAAATGATTTCCATGATTATTATTCAGTACAGAATCTTTTATTAGGGGAAGAAACTTAAAAGATTTAGGCATTCCCAGCATTAAGTTATAGCTATCTTCACTAACTATTAGCCTTAATTTTTGGCAGCCAATCTACTAATCACTCCAAGTTAATCTACCAAATAAATAAGTCATTTTGAGATAAGTTGGAATGAAGTTCRGTAACCAATTTTTTCCCTCTATCCATTTCCTGCCTATAACAAAGCATCCAATGAATTCCACTACAAATAATACCACTTTAACATTTTAAATTTTTATATTTCTTAATTATTTAATTCAAATATAAAAATCTTCCCATAGCCTTTATAACTTTGTAAATATTTTCTGAATTTGAATCATCTTCATTTACTAAATAAAAATAGAAAAAACATTTGTTGCCAAAATACATTTACTAAACCTATGGAAAAATAACATATATACTATGAGCTTTTGAATAAAAGAGATATGCATTAAGAGTAGAACATGGGCTGGGCACAGGGGCACACAGAGGCTGAGGCAGGAGGATTCTGAGTTCAAAGCCAACCTAGCAAAAGGGAGGTGCTAAGCAACTCAGTGAGACTCTGTCTAAATTAAACACAAAATAGGGCTGGGGATGTGGCTCAATGGTTTTGTGCCCCCGAGTTCAATCCTGGGTAAACACCCCCATCCTCCCCCAAAAAAGAGTAGCAAATGGTATTCAGAGCTTATACAACAAATGAGTATAATAAACATTAACTAAAAAGTATAATGACAGTGGACTTTAACTGCACTAGAAACTCTGTGCCACTACAAAGGTTAATGATGATTTGTATTGTTCTTTCAAGTGTTTCCTAAGTGCTAAAAGTCTTTCAAAGCAACTAACTGGTTTTTCAAAAAGAAGTTTTAGAAAATGACAATACTTGAGAGTTGGAAAAACATTTTTAAACATTAACATTAATCATTAACATCAAATAAGAAAACTTCACATTCTATGGAAGAGACACTCATTAACTTCCATTTAACGTTAAAATGCTTACAAGGTTTCATTTTATTAAAGAAAGTATTAGGCTAAGAGAAAAGGAAATTGGCACATCGTGACTTCACTTTAATTAGTTAAAAGTCTAAATCACAAATAAATTTGTAAGTTGCTGAGGAAAAAAAGAATCTTACTTGCTTTGCTTTCAGCTTAATGAAGACCTATCATTTAAAAATTAAATAGCTATGTTAAAACTTTTACCTCAAATTATGACTTATAATTTCTAGAAATAAAAGTTTCTAATTCCAGTAGTATTGTGTAGGAATCTTTCTCCCAATTCTTAACCTCTTTATGACTCAGTATCCTTGATTACCATTTACCTCAAAAATCCCTACCTTCTAAGAGAAGCACAATAGTTTTAACATCTGTCCTATACAAATAGCCTGTTAACAAGTTTTCCTAACTTCAGGTATGTTTTAAATCAAAGACCCAATACACAAAGTTGCTATTATACATATAAAAGTTATACAGTTGCAATAAACATCAAATAAATTATTCACTTAAAAATGAGGAACTGGGGATGTGGCTCAAGTGGTAATGTGCTCACCTGGCATGCGCAAGGTTCGATCCTCAGCACCACATAAAAATAAAATAAAGATGTGTCCACCGAAAATTTAAAAATATTTATAAATTCTAAAAATAAATTAATTAAAATAAAATAAAATAAAGATGATTTGAAAGAAAAAAAAATTTAAAAATGAGCTGGGTGTGGTGGCACATACCTGTAATCCCAGGGGCTCAGGAGGCTAAGGCAGGAGGATCAGGAGTTTCAAAGCCAGCTCCAGCAATTTAGTGAGACCCTAAGCAACTCAGTGATACCCTGTCTCTAAATATAATAAAAAATAGGGCTGGGGATGTGGCTTCATGGTTGAGTGTCCTTGAGTTCAATCACCGATACAAAAAAAAAAAAAACCTTAAAAATGAATTTGCCTCATTCTGAAAAACAGTTTAAGTGTAAAGTTGCAATTCATGAAACACCATTCAACAGATTGTGAATTCCTTTGAAATAATTAAAAATCTTTGGAATAAGTTATAATTTATAAATTTCATATAAAATTCTGAAAATTTTATGATGTAAAGAAATCCATTGCAGTCAAACTCACAGCTAAACAATTTAAGAATACTAAATGTGGTTTAGGAATTACTCAGTATTAATTTGAAAGTACTTCTCTTTCCTTACTCTAAAATTTATCTGAAGAAACTCATGTGAACTCAATGCTGTCAAGCAGACATCTCATGACCCCCAAATGCACACAATTCTCATTAACACTAAACAAATGTTATACAGAAAACAAAAGAGTAAAGCCCATCTGATGGGGTTTTCCAAAGCCAACAAATCTCTGAAGTATATCTTTACCTACGAGTGACTAAGTAAACATTACACTTAAGCAATAGACTTTCAGTTTTTTGTTGCTGAAGACATAAGTCCTAACAATGCTCCATGAAAAGTTTGAAGGTTATTGGTTTTGTTTTTAGGGAGAGTGTCACTTAGAAAGAAGAGGCCTACTGAGCCAAGTTTCTAATATTCTGATTTTGCAATAACAATAATAATGGTATTTTCTACATGTACTCACATATATAAAAGATGAAATGGTACAACCAACCCTCTAAGACATTAGAAATATGCAGCTCTAACACTAATTAAAAGAGGTTCTTAAATCTCAACACCAATATTATAACAGGGAGAAGGAAAATGGAACACATGGCAAATCTTTACTTAGTTCTTTTGAACTTAATCACCCATACTCTAATGAAAAAAGTCTGCTTAATGCCTTTCAATGTTTTTCTCCCCTTGTGTCTGTATCCACAAAGAATACAGTTTCAGTTTTGTTTTTAATAATATTTTTCCATTGCTATTAACACTATAACTTTTAAATCATCAGTGTTACTTAAAWTTTTTTTATAAAGTATTTATTTGCAGAACACAAAAATTAAAATGCTAAATTTAATTACCATGTTTTTTCTGAGGCTACAAATTACAGTGGTGTCAAAGTGTGTCACAGGCCATCAAAATAATTCCTTAAACAACAAAAAAAAATGAAGATCAAAACCAAAAAAGCTATATACCCAGTACTCATCATTATTCTCAAAACTGACATCTTTAAATATCTCCATGGTATCAACTGCTTTTAAAAAAGCAATCTTTTCCTACATAATTCTGCTAAACTATTAAAATACAACATACATTAATGAATACAGAAAGAATGGTTTCAAATTTAACATGGTAGAAAAATACTATGTATTTCCTAAAAGAATAAAGAAAAATATTTAAAATGTTTAACCAGTGTTTGTCTTTAACAATAATTTCTCATTCATAATCAATTCATTCAACAAATACTACTGAGTGCCTTAAATTGGCAGTACTATTTATTTATGGCAAAACCTTGAAATTTTTAATTTAAAAATAGCTTGAGGGCTGGGGTTATAGCTCAGTGGTAGAGCACTTGTCTCCCATGCATGAGGCACTGGGTTCAATCGTCAGCACCACATAAATAAAATAAAGGTATTATGCCCATCTACAACTAAAAACAAAAAAGAAAAAAAAATATAGCTTGATATGTTGATTATTTTCTTTGGTTACTTTTTCAAAAAGGACAATCCTCACAAGAAATACAGCAAATGAAGTTATTACCTAAAAAACTATCCAAATAAAGAACTGGGTCACAAGTTTACAACATTAGACATTGGTGAATTAACTCTCTTTAGGCTACGTAAGGCAAAAAAACAATTGCTTTCATTTTTCTTTTAAGTGAAATTTTTTTRAGAGARAGAAAGARAGAGAGAATTTTTCAATATTTATTTTTTTTTAGTTTTCGGCGGACACAACATCTTTGCTTGTATGTGGTGCTGAGGATCAAACCCGGGCTGCACGCATGCCAGGCAAGCGTGCTACCGCTTGAGCCACATCCCCAGCCCCAAACAATTGCTTTTTAATTTGGCTAGCACTAGGTAACTACTATAGATGGTTGCTGTTTTGTATTTGTCAATCCTGTTAAAAGCTGTCACATGGTTATGGTCCACTATAATTAGTATCCTTCAATAACAGCATCCAAAATTAAATCTTGAACAATGGCCCACTTAAAATTTGAGTTGTACACATTATGATGGAATTCTGGTACAAYAAAAATATTTGAATAGATTGCTAAAATCCAGTATACAGACCCCAAGAACTACGAAGAAAAAGAAATATTTAGATTTGATTGAGTCTGTTTTTGAGTTCTCAAGATGACAGTTTTCTCTGAGAGCCTCACTGCAGCCTAACTTGGGAGTAGTTTTATTTTTATTTTAAGGGGAATAATAAAGCCAATGAGGATAGCAATAAATTCCAAAAAAGTCAGGCTACAAGTTGGATGCACTGACACATGCCTTGTGATCCCAACTACTCTCAGGAGGCTAAAGTTAGGAGTACCTCAAATTTGAAGACGGCCTGGATAGCATAGTGAGAATCCATCTCAAAAAAAAAAAAAGAGAGAAAGCAGAAAGTACACAGAAAACTCTTCTCCTTCAAGGACAGACTGATGAAAATGGAACAATCTTGCTTTGCAGTATGCTTGAAAGAACCAATCAATGTCACCCACTAGAAACTTCTGACCGGAGGACTAGAGCTAAGATTTTTCCCAAGACCAGTTTTATAGTTCTCACCCACAATCACACAACCATTAAATAAAATGTGCTGCCAGGCATGACAATACATGCCTGTGACTCAGGGGCTGAGGTAGGAGGATTCAAGTTCAAGGCCAGCTTCAGCAACTTAGTGAGAGCCTGTCTCTAATACAAAAGAAGGACTAGGGATATGGTTCAGTGGTTAAGCACCCCTAAATTCAATTCAATCCCTGGTACAAAACAAAACAAAAAGCTGCTACAAAATTAAATTTAAAAAGAAAATCTGTACCCAAAAAGTTTTGTCCCTGATCCTTTTTCTATCAAAAAGATCAAAATGGATTCAGATTCTCCTCAGGGGAGTAAAGAGTGAAAAGTAATTATTCAGCTTTCAAATCAAGAGATTTTTTTGGAACAAATATCTTTCTGGAATATTATAGTTAGACTAACCCCAGTTAAAACAAATCCTAATTCAAAAAATCATCTGTTCTTTACAAATTACTTTGTTGAACAGTAGAGACAACTGATACAAAATGAGTGAGGGTTTAAAGCATAAAATCACATTTGGTATGCTTTAGCTAATCTTTACTAATTAGCAATAAAATGAGTTAATATTCTATTTCTACATATCAGCTAAACTTGAAAGGAAGATGACTCAAACAAGTGCTAAGTGACATGAGAAAATGAAATTTAACATGTACTTTGGAACCCGACTAGATTCCTCAGAACTGTCAAAATGTAGCAATTTAGCTGGCATCCTAGAACAGAAAAAGAACATTAGGTTAAAAAAAAAAAAGGAAATCCAGATAAAGCACATACATACAGAAAAAGAACATTGGGTTAAAAAAAAAAGAAATCCAGATAAAGCACATACATACCTTAGTTAATCATAAAGTGTGTATACTAGTTCATTAGTTATGAAAAACACATCATTCTAATACAAGCATTAACAATAAACTGAAAGAGTTACACAGGAACACTCTATACTCCCTTTATAACTTTTATGTAAATATAACCTTTATGTAAATATAAAACTATCCGGGCTGAGTTATGGCTCAGTGGTAGAGTGCTTGCCTTGCAAGTGTGAGGCACTGGATTTCATTCTCAGCACCTCGTACAAAATAAATAAATAAAAGTATTGTCCATCTACAACTAAAAATGTTTTAAAAAAAAACATAAAACTACCTTAAAATTAAAGATTTTTTTATTTAAAATATTTTTTAGTTGTAGGTGGACACACAATACCTTCACTTATTTATCTCCAGGTGGTGCTGAAGATCGAACCCAGGGCCCCACATGTGCTAGGCAAGTGCTCTACACTGAGCTACAACCCCAGGCCCTTAATATTTATTTTTTAAAAATATACTATGGGTGACACAAAGATGTCAAAGAGGTTAAGCAAAAACAATTGTGTACTTTTGTAATCAAACATTCCAGTTAGAAAAACTGAGACTTCTAGTCTTCTTTGCAAAAAGAAATACGTTTCCTCCTCCCCACAAAAAGCGACAGAGAAGGTGGGGGAGGATATTATCAGCATAATCACAAACATTTCAGTAACAAGATGTGTTAGGTGCTGAACCAAACAGAAGGACACTGCCTGTGACAAGCAGGCTCAAGCTAAATTAATCAGCTTTTTAGTTGCCACCTGGGTCCTTCCGGTTCCCCTTTCCTCAGTGCTACACCTCCACTTGGAACTCAGGATGCCTCCTGCAGCTGATGCCACCCCCACTGTCCAGCTGCTCTCTTCTCAGGGGAGCGTAAAAGAAGGG